CCTCTATTAACCATATTAAAATAAAAGAAAAATATAGAAAAACAAAAAAGTTTAAAAATTCGACTTTTTTAAATTCGCATCCGGTAACGACCGGAAGTACTGACGACGCACAAAAAAGTGATTCCCCTCATCTAGAAGACATAACCTATCATCTCTAACAAGTCTCCAGTTCATATCTTAAACCATTTTTGAAAAAAAGGGGGGACAAAATTTCATTTTAAAATCAGAAAACTGTCAATTACTTGGCACCGGAAGCGAGTTTTCCAAATTTTCCCTCTGATGAACAAAGTCCATTTGACGACGCATAATTCCTGAAAGTTTCATTTAAAACCACTTAATAGTTTTTGAGAAATCGCCTGCACAAAATTTTGGGGAAAAAAATAATAATAATAATAAGAAACAGTAGAATCACTATAAGGTCTTCCGTGAAGACGGAAGACCTTAATAAAAATAGTGGAAAAGAAACCTAAGAATAACAAGAAGGTCTTCCGCTGAAGACGGAAGACCTTAATAATAATAGGGAAAAAGAAACAGAACGAAAACAATAAGGTCTTCCGTTGGAAACGGAAGACCTTAAAAATAATAAGAAACAGTAGAATCACTATAAGGTCTTCCGTGAAGACGGAAGACCTTAATAATAATAAGAAACAGTAGAATCACTATAAGGTCTTCCGTGAAGACAGAAGACCTTAACTAGAAAGTCTGCTATTGCAAGCAATAGCATATGTCGCCCCGAACTGGCGTGTGTGTGTGTGTGTGTAAGGGGGAAGGTAGTAAAAATATTGTACAAAAACTTTTTTGACTTTACATTATTAGTTAACAGAATTTTATTTGAAAACTGCATGCAAAAATAAAGCATTACTCAAGAACAAAAATTATCAGAGAAAAACGACACTTATCAAAAACATGCTGCATACACTATAAGGAATGTCAAAAATTGTTGTTTTAATATATTTTATGATAGTTGTGCAAGTTCATTTTATTTCTTAAAATAAGGTAGCAATGCTCAATAAATGTATAACTTGTATAATAATACTGTTAAAAGAAAGAAATATTGTTGTCTTATAATTTCATAAAATATTATAAGTTAATTGGATTTTAAAATACGTTGCATCATGTCATGAAATTGACATCAGAAATCAAACGGAAATTTAAATTTCTGTTTCTAAATAGACATTTCACTTTTTCATCACTAAAGTAATACCCATTAGCTAAGTTTGGACAACATCAACTCATATCAGTCCTTTCAGTACTTTGATTAACAGAAACGTCTGATAGCATACAATGGTCACGTGACCGCGACTTTTCTTGAATCATTTGTTTCTTACCTGGCTTCAGCAACAAACCTTGAAAAAATAAAATATCCTATGCAACTAGAGTTGGTGATTTTTATTTTTGTAAAGTTTCATGAAGATTTTGAAAGCCATCTACGAGAACGCTCGAGTACAAAACTAAGGTGAACCAAAATACGATTTCGTTCCGGTGGCTGAAGAGATGGGCCTGCTCCAATTTTTTGGCGGAAAACAATTCGATCTCGTAGTAGGAATAAACCTTTAAAGTTTCCAAAAGATTGCTTGCGTAGGTACTGAAAAAATAGTAATTAAAGAATTTTCACTTTTCGTCCGTTTCCATGGCAACGGTAAGAATTTAGAAAAAATTGAATGTTGACGTCACACCTAGAGTTTCTAATCATAATTTCTGTAAAGTTTCATCAAGACTGTCCAAGCTACCTCTGAGAACATATGTGAGCATAATACATTTTTTCTATTTTGTTTCTATGGTAACTGTGTGCGGCTAATTCCAGGTTTTTGAAAAAATAGAAATCACTTTGACACAATGCAAGGAATCATCCATTAAAGTTTCAAAATGATTGCTTGAGCAGTTACTGAGAAAATCGAAGTTAAAGAATTTTCACTTTTCCTCTGTTTCCATGGCAACAATTGACAATTTGAAAATTTTAAATGCGAATCGCACAACTACAATTACTGATCATTATTTCTGTAAAGTTTCATGATGAATGTTTAAGAGATCAGTGAGAACACTCCCGGACAAAATTTGTCACTTTTCGTACGTTTCCATGGCAACGGTAACCATTTTGAAACTGAAAGTCTGCACTGCACAAGTAAAACTAGTGATCGTCTTTTGTGGAAAGTTTCAGGAAGATTGTCCCAGCCATCTGCGAGAAAATTCCCGGACAAGGTTTTTAGGCGTACAATAGCAATATGTCGCCCGACTTCGTTCAGGGCAACATAATAAGAAGAAGAAACAGAGTAAAAACAATATGTTCCCAAACTTCGTTTGGGGAACATAATTAACTGAGAGATATAAACCCCGTATGCAGGTGATAAGGGTATATTGCTGCATAAGTAAGGGAAGATGACAATTGAAAAGTTAAAGTCATCACGTTTATCATAAAGCTTGGTTGTTAGATTACCATTAACGTCTTTTTCTAATAAAATATCCAAATATGAAACAGATGTGTCAAACTCTGTGGTATCTTTTATCTCAAGCTCACCGGGATATATCGTGTCGACATAAGAATGGAAATAACCATTTTAATTGACAATACGTCGTCGATATATCTAAATGTCGAGTTGAAGGTCCTTAGTCCTTTTGCTATAAAGCCAGCACCAACATTAGCTGCTCGAACAAGGACCAATGGGGAAAAACACACCATAATACTGTATAATTACTTATATTTTTTGCCTTCTTTGATATCTTAAGACACAGTACCTCTTTGCCATGTTTAAATCACAGTCACACTTTAAAAAACAACTTATCAAGCAAGTGTCATTTTCACAATGACTACACCCATGACTACGTTTACGTCTCTGTGTATGGTTGAAAAGTCCCATCTCATTGATATTGTTACACTGTGGACTGAGAAAGATTCCCAACACTAACGACATTATCATTGCATCCATAGGGAAAGGCCGTCCCTAACTTTTAAATCCAAAATTCTTCTCGTTGTCTACGAAAGGTGTACTCAGTGATGGACTGTTTGTATGATAGTAATTCTCTCCTAGAATTCTAACTTTCATTGACAAAATTGAATAATCAGGTAAATTAAAGAGCTTGTAGAGAAGCTGCTGGCCTCCGTTGTATAATTGAAATCTGTGACACGATATTCTTTTATGAAGTGAACCCTTGGTTTCCCCAACATAAATAAGTCCACAAAGATTACATTATATTCCGTAGACAACATTAAAAGATTTGAAGTACTTCACGTACTGATTTAATAAAATTTTAAAGTAAATAAATTTTGGTTCAGTTGCACTGAGAGCGAAAGAAATTCTTCCAACTTACTGAAACTTTAATAGACACACGTACTTGTAATTCCATTAAATATACCCTATTATCTTATGTGTGTTTATTATTTATATGAATCATAACTATATTATCGTAACTATTTTGATAAGCGGACTTCAATATCACAATTTGTCAAGGTATTTTAAAATATTAACATTCAGTATAATTTTTTTTTTTAATGAAATCCATTGGAAATCTACAATATTCAATACACTATAACACGCATGAAACCTTAATTGTCACTGCGCGGTAGAATACACAGTAGGAACTATATGCATTTTTAATATTCTAGGAACACCAAAATGGATTTTGTTTTTGCTCAATTTAATTAAAATTATATACTCCATTAAATCATTGTAAAAATATGTAAAAAATACTGTACATTTCAAATTTACTTGTCATTTTCCCTCTCAATATTCATTTGCGTTATTTAACTTTCCACGTCACAACGGATCTTGCTTCTATTGGACTTTTGCGAGAAGCTCTGACTTTAACAATCGACAGTTTACTTTTACGCTAGGACAATATATGGAAACTCTTTTGCGATATAAATATTAAGCTTGACAGTTAATTAAACGATAATAATGGGCCATTTCAAAGCACATATTACGTTGTCTAGGAAGAGAACAGCAACAGCCCTTCCGTCAACCCCCTCCCTTCTCACATTGATCAACTCTTGCTTAGTTTTCCTTCCGGAATGTGGTTTTTTCCTTATTTGATTCCTTCAGACAATGAGATTGAAAGGAGATACAACCCCTCACGAATAAGGAAATTTATGTAATTCTGAATCCTATCATCTCTTAATTGCGTTGATTGCATACCGGTAAATTATGTTAATGCCCTTAAAACCATACCTATAACCATTATTAAGGCTTTCTTGTTTATTGACAATTCCGTACCTCCGTACATAAGACAGGTTTAAATGTCAAAGGTGGTAGGGGATAGTATTTTTTTAATGCCAAACATGTGCCGAGAGGCTACACATATACATGCGGTCAATAAAAATAAATACCTAGGGACAGTTTCCTGGGGGCTAATTAATTACACTTCATATGCCCAAAGCTCACAAATTATGACAACATATAAATCGCAATCTACCTATAAGAGTGCACAGGTACCAAAAATGCACTCGGGAACTCCCCAAATTCTGGCTTGTTTTTCCAAGATTTGGGCCTCAGTCGTACCCATACAGCCCACCCCCAGTCCCGAGCGAGGAGGATAAAATACCCAGTATGCTGTAAATCAATGCATGCCCTAATGAAAATTCACCCATTGATCTGGGACCATTCACCTTCCCTCTGAGATGAACACCTTCTTCTAAGTCCTACTGCTTTCCAGCTGAATTGCCTCTGCAACTGACCACGTGTCTTAGTTTCGCACTTACAACTCTGTATATGCTAAGAATCATACAATCTACCCAGAGTTATCGGTGCAGTTTTAGGACCGACGACATGCAAAGATAAGAATCGCTTAATGAAACACTTTCTATGCGCCTAATTTTGTAAAGTCTGTCCAGCTGTGGTCAACCGACCAAATTCTGGACATTTGATTAAACTAACGAATGTTTCGTACACATCAACAGGATCTCCTTCAGGAAGAAAAACAACTTGGATAATTTAACGTTCCAACACAGAAAGCTCGCATGAAAAACTTTTCTGAATAAGTATGAATTCTTCATTGTATTTTTCTCAATTTTCATGCATCAATCAAACACCGTGTGCATTTTGCAGGCCCTAATTGCCCAATTGACGTGACTGGTTCTAGTAGGAGTTTCCAATAGCAGGATATGTAATCTCTCGCGTGCTATACAATTCGTTTTCGGCAGTTTACATGCACGGAGTATTTGAATGGGTCGTATTCATATCATATAATATGCAGAGAGGAATTTATAGCTTACTTACTTCGTTATTTGTAGCAGGTATTTTAGGTAAGTGAACTTAACTTGGTGCATTGCTTTTTGCAGCTATCATATACAATCCGAGTCAATACTAGTAAATGTCTATATGTTCAAAGGTTGTTAATGTACTGAACGTACGTATTGGTAAGAAATCAATCTGTTGAATTATTCTTTCAAGTGTTTACTTGAAAGATATGAAACGTAATGGTGAAGAATATATATATGTGAAAATTTTACATTGTCTTTCTTGCAATGCTGAGAAAATTCTCTTATATTGAAAGCATTTCTTTTGTGACACTTCCAGTTTTCAATTTCCTGGTGGAGTATGACGAAATAAGAATTGCATTAATGCTGAAAAACATAAATTTCAATATATATATATATATATATATATATATATATATATATATATATATATATATATATATATATATATATATATATATATATATATATATATATATATATATATATATATATAATCATTATTAAAAGATATCAAAATGTGCAGCTCAATCTAGGACCTAAGATTTACATTTTTAAGGCCGTTTAAAGGTTTTAGGTCTTTGCTACCTTTTAAATTGAATTTGCTATCAAATTAGGTTGGTATTGTGAGATTTACAGATGTCAAACATCGAAATCAACGCGTTAACATTGTGAAGAATGGATCAAGTCAGTTTAAGAATTTTTTTATCAGTTGCTTGTTGATTGTATACTTGACCGACTAAAGACTAAATCCAATATTGCCCTATGAGGTGTAATTAAAGTAGCGGTAGGGATTTATTTTGCAAGTATTAAATTGCAATGATTACTTCCCTTGTGTACTTATACTGTTGGTATGACACGTTTAAAATGCAGTGATTAGTTTGTTTAGATTTTCAGGTCTAAACTTGGTAGTATAGATTCAAGTTTGTTCAAATCATGGGCCTTAAGATTGCTTTATATTCTATTGAAGTGTAAGTTAAATGCTCGATTTGTCTCATTACTTCAAGAGATAAGGAAAGGGCTATTGCAGAAAGTCTCATTTTGTTCTTTGGTGAACTCTTTTTATATGAAAAAAATCATCCCTTTGCTCACTGGGAATCGATTGATGATACAATCATTATGATGTTCTATTGAAATAATATCGCGAATGTACTCCTTTGATGGCTTCCTTGCAAAGTGGAAATGTGTTGTGTTGTAAGATAGAAAGAGTGATAAAAATATTTTATATTTATTTTTAGCTCACCTGAGCTGAAAGCTCTAAATGAATAAAATGAAATAAAATGACTAAGCCCAGAAACATGTTTACTTTGATAAAAGTTCTCTCCAGGTTCTTAATATATCAGTCATTCTATGATAAATGGATCAATTCAGAGTATAAAACATGAAAAAAAAATTTCAAATAGCAAAATGAACATCATAATTCTCTAAAGGATATGTCAGTGAACTTAAAAAACAAAGCAATGTCCACAAATCTGATATCGTTAACTTTTTACAACAATTTGAAGATACCATTGATTTTAAGGTAATGTTACGGAAGTTAATGCTTGATCAAGCCTTTTTTTTTTAAAATAAAGCTGAATTTGACCAATTTTTCGTTTCTGACGTTCAGTAAAGAACGCTAAAGTATGATTCATGAAGTCTCCCATGAATCCGAATTTAATTAAAATTTTAGGGAAAAATATCGTTACGAAAGTTAATTCCCATCAATAAAAGTTAAAAGTCTCTTCAATAGTTAAAAGCAAAGTTTGTTTTAGGATATTAAACAAAAGTATGAAGCAGTTCGCTCCCAAAATAATAATTTTTTTATACCTTTAATGCAAAAACTTTCCGGAGTTACCGTTACGGAAGTTAAATTTTAAGAGAGACAACTGATTTTGTCTGATTAATTTTGTTTTGTCGAAAATGTAATCGTCTAAAATAGCTAACTCGCAACTAGAATCAATGATATAAGGTCACTTTCAGATAAGTTTAATTAATAAGTTCTTTTTGAAATCTGCATTCCATGCGTGAAATTTAAAACAAAATTGTTACGGATGTTAATCGGTTTTAAGCGACATGCTATTATTTCGCATGAAAGGAGATCCATGCATTTCTTTGCGATAAGTGGTTTGATTTCTTTTTATATAGGATAAACAACTTTTTTAACATTCATTGCAATCTATTCGGAACGATTTTATACGGCTGAAAATTGCATCTTGGAATTTGTAAATAAAATGAAGCGACATTAGGATTTGTTGTGGAATAGGTTTTCAACATTCCATTATGTTCATATCAAAACTTTAACTGCATATATATCGGTAAATATTTACAAAACCATGTGTGTATGTTAAGTCTCGAAGTTGAAATTTGTAAGCGACATAAAAAATTCTTAATTGGTCATGTTTTTGTAGAATGACTGATATATGTTCAAAAGGCAATGTAGAAATTCAATATGTAATCATGCAGTGCTTAACAATTTTACAAAATCTTTTTTTTTCAATATTTGGAGAGCAAACACGCAATTAGCCTCTTAAAATGAAAATTTAAATTTCTTTTCTGACAGACATAAAAAATTGAGATAATATACATTTATACTTAATTTTCGATGCACAAGTTAAATTCGGTAATAAAAATTGAAGATATGTTTTAAAATCTGAGCGAATATAGATGTATATACTATACGGACCGAGTGAGAAACTTAATCGAATTTTACCAGTTTATTAAACCTCATTGTATTCTAGTTGTCCGAAATTTTTCAGACGTTAGAAAACACAAAGTGTGGATTTTGTTAACTTTAATATGATGGTGTTTACCCCCTTTCTTTGGTAAGAAAAAAAACAGTCGTCCAGAATATATAGTTTATATGTACAGTATAGAGTAAAACATTGTTTACTTATTTATCTTAAAATACATGTACATGTATGTATGAGGAGCAGCGACATGTATCTTCATCAAACTCTTTAAATAAAAGACCCTTATAAGAATCACAAGAAACGAAAAGTCTTACCTTTCTCAGCCATATTTTTTTTTTCTTCAAATTTTCAAATAAATGTTCTTGGACCTGGACCTAATTTATTGTTTATGAAATTAAAGTTTTGTGTTCTAGTTTTAATTTCTCCTTTGAAAAAAAAAGTTTGATAAGTCGGAAAACACCTGCATAGGCTTAACATTGGACTAAGCCATTGTAAACTATACTTTTGAATCAAATTTGAAGAAAAAGACTCTTTTGTAAATAAAACGCCTATTCGCGAAAAAAAATATTTAAAAATTTAGCCAAAAATTAGTTATAACTATGTGTCAAGTTCTCTAGACGCTCATCTGAGTAAATATGGTCCTTCTTGTTCATCAGCATATTCTTCCTCACATACATTCATGTGTAAAACTATGATTGCCGATTGTGGCCCAACCCCACCATCCCTCCCCTGGGGGTCATGATTTGAACAAACATGAATCTACACTACCGAAGGATGCTTCCGTATAAATATGACCAATCATGGCTTTGCTTTTCTTGAGATGAAGATTTTTAAAAGATTTTTAAAGATTTTTCCTATGTATTCCTATGTAAATGTTTGATCATCCATTGTGGCCCTGCCCTACTCCCCCCCCCCTCCCCCCGGGGGATTTAAACAACTTGAATCTACACAACCTGAGGATGATTTCATATAATTTTCATCTTTCCTGACCCAGTGGTTCTGGAGAAGATTTTAAAAGATTTTATTTATATGAATTTTCATAAAACATTACTTCTTTTGGAAAAGAAAGAGAGATAACTCTATAATTTTGGTGAAACTTGTGTTTTTCACTATAGAAATCAACGGAAAACGGAAAATATTTTTAAAACATCCCCCAGGTACATTGTAATATGGACTGTCATTTCACAAATTCATACCCAAGCTTTTTGTGTTTCACGGGGGGGGGGGGGGGGGGATATGTTTACAGACAAAAAACTACAAATATGCTTATTATTTTACACCAATTTCAAAGGGGTTAACAACTAAAATATTGTATTTTATTAATAATATATGTTTAATTTTATATGAGTAAAACATCAGAAAAGATTTAAGTAACATTTATTCATATCCAAGAATTTTAAAAAATGTGTTGATGCTTTAAAGCCCGATTTCATTGAAAAATATCGTCTACCCCCCTTATTTAAAGAGCTGGAATTAGGGGTAATTAAGTATCTAACACTGGTATAAAAATTATCAGTCCATAGCCATTGAACTGTTCTTTGCATTCAACAAAGATTTTACGACCAAATTGCCATTAGAATTGAATTAAATTGGTGTAAAATGTAGGCGGGAATCGAGAGTTAGCGTGCGTAGTTCTTCTGTTTTACCCTTCATCACCTCAAATTGTATTTGCCGAAGCCATTATTTTTTAAATAAAATAGATATTTGAAAAATTCCTTTTTATGGCGAAGGATATATTACTTTTTTAGCGTCTAAGTTTGCAGCAATATCGAAGGCTTTTTATAGGTTCATTAAAAGTTCAGAAAATGTTCAACTTCTGAAAAAAGATACTGAGTGACGCTCTCAGATTAAATGTTTTTCCAATGCATTCAGTTTAGATAGATAGATATAGTATTGAAAATGCCACACAGATACCCCGTGCTTTGGCATTTTCAAGAGTTATTATTCAAACATTCACGTTCCCATGTCCTTGTCCTATGCATGTATCAATTGTTCTGTAATTTCAATGATTAATTAGCTTTTGATCCTAAAGTCATTTAATGTAATACACGCGTATAAATATATGTCAAAAAGGTAGACACTAGTCGCTCTGCAAGATGGATCGGTTGCTGCTTGTTTAACATTTGACGACGATTTTGATGGGCAAAATTGTCACGCAGGAGTTTGGAGTCCAGTAGAAGACGAGGTTGCATGTTCGTTGTCTGTCCCTACAAAATGTTCTTTAAAAGCCTTTACATAAGAACTCTAAATTAATGCCACTTCAGTAGAGCAATTTATACAAATGAATGTAAGATCTAATTAATTGAATTACGTTAAAACAATACCCCTTTTTTCTCGAGAGAGGGAGTAAACATTCACTGCACAGGATTAATACAATAAATTAGTCACAAATCTCCTTTGTTGTTTGTATGATTTCATTTTCATCATGTACTAAAGTAGAACTTAGTTGTTTGTCAGAAATTATGTCAAGATCAAAGTTCTTACAGAAAAAAGGATTAATGATCGTGCTTTGAGCATCAGATCGGTTGTCAGGTCTTTTCAACACGGAAAAATACTACAACTTGTATACATCTTAAATTTTATTTACAAAATCTATTATATGTAAGGTTATACTGATGTAAAGATGAATTACATATTAAAATTGAATTGGTAAGAGTTTTTAAAAAGTAGTAAGACTTTTAAAATCTCAATATACACATAGCATTCGCCGTTTATAATTTTCAGAGTCCTGTCCACAGAACTAAAGCTTGCAGTTTAAGAGAAAACTATTCAAGCTTTGAATGACACAATATGAAATGTTCTTTTTGTCTGGAAATGTGTCCTTTCAATTTGCCATCATTATTTCAAAGCATTGATTAAGAAAAAAAAGCCTTAATCTTTGCTTCAGCTACATAATCAGTACATATTTAAGCAGAAAAAAAACTGGGAAAAATTGTATCCAAATACATCCTTTACGAAGGATTCCTGATCAAAAAGGATTTTTGCACTTTGAAAAAAGTTCTCTTGTGCATGTTACATTGTTCTTTCATTATCTCTAATTGTTTTTCAAAAGTAAATTATTAATTTTGCCTTTTCATTACTTGTAGTCTTTTGTATTTTTTTTTATTTAACTGGTTTATTTTTCCCTAACCCTGTGTTGTAAGAAATAGAGATTAAAATAATTTAAACAGACATAAGCTTTAAAAAAACTGAAAATCAAACAAGGAGGCTTAGATAACACTTAACATATCTTCATATATTTTCTTTAACAATTATTATAAGCTTTCATTTACGATACCTTGCATAGTAAAATATTTACACCTTTTCAGGTACATTCTGTTTGATAAAGTATATTTGATTTTCCAAGCAAACATCAATTGTTGCATAACATGCTACAAGAAACAAAGACTATCTGACAAAGAAAATATATGTACCTGTGTGGCTATTATTAATTTACCCCTTGAATGAAGATAGCCTGATACTATTGATTGGATCATGCTCCCACTGGTTCATCAGCTCACTATCAATTACTGAAATGTGACATAATAATCATAAAAACCTTCTTTAATTAATCACAAACAACTTTTTTTAGTAAATATTATAAGTCGTGGATTATGTAATTATTTGCTAAGATCAATTCTTGGGCAGAACTATTTTGCCATGCTTATGCAACCTATAACTATCCTAATTTTTTTGTGAACCTTTAGAGAAGTTGTTTTCTTAGATGTATGAGTTTTTTGCTTTGATTCTTTTGGGGAAAAATAAATTGTAATACAAACATTTTGACTGACTGGCTTCCAGTGACTTACATTCACTGCATTTTTTATAACTGTCTTTTTTACAATAAACAGTCTTGCTTAAGGAAACCAAATTGTAAGTAAACAAACATTGTTTACCTTTTCGATAAATCACAGTTTGCCACTAAGCAATATACACGACTCTTCTTATCAATTATATTGTTTTTTTTTAAATAATATTTGCAAGATGTCGTCCAAATGTCCAGCGAAAAACTCCTGATTAAGAAGCTGCTCACTGAGTACAAGGAACGTGGCATTATGGGAAGACCGGTAGAGCGTCATCATGAGATTCTTACGGTCAAGTTCGGACTGAGTCTTATACAGATTCTGGATCTGGACGAGAAAAATCAAGTATTAACCACCAACGCATGGGTAACTCACGTAAGTAAGCAATAAATAACCGTGTTTCCAAGGCAAAACTTAAAATGACTTTGGATTGGAGGGTGTATTGTCAACATACATACACTTATCATGACTTTTTTAGCTCTACTGTTCAGAGACCAGAAGAGCTTATGCGATAGTAAGGTGTCCGTCGTTCGTCCGTCTGTCTGTATTCAATTTTTCAAAACGCTACTCCTTCTGCAATTTTGGTCCGATTTCAATATAACTTGGCACACAAGTAGGCCACACTTAGATGCACAATCAAAAGCATGTTTTTGATTTTGATGAACGGTGTTACCATGGTTACTAAAAATAGAAATTTCTCTGAAACTCCTTTAAAACGTTACTCCAACAGTTTTGTTCTGATTTCAATATAACTTAGCACAAAGTAGACTACACTCAGATACATAATTCTGTGCTTGGGTTTTTATTTATTTTTTTGAGCAGTGTTGCCATGGTTTCTAAAAATAGAAATTTCTATGAAATACTTCCAAAAGGCTACTCCTCCATTGGGTTTTATCTGATTGCAATGAATCTTGCCACAAAGAGACTAAACAAGAACCATTATTCTATTTATTGCTGTTCAAGTGCAAATGCTACTTTTCTCTTCCTTTAACATAAATTCAAACCAGTAGAGCTTCAGTCTCATCAGAGACTTCTGGTTGTCTTAATCAAAGGAATAACGACAAAACGCCTACAGAGAGTGGTTGTGTTAAATACTTTTTTTGCTAATTTACTTGCAAATTCCATCAACACTTACTTTGAAATCTGAGGTGTAAATGAAAGTTGCTGTTACTCCTTCCCAGACGCCATGCGTTAAAAGAACACTTTATGTTCTTATTCGTTTCACTCAAACGAACATAAAACATTTATGAAATAAACACAAACTCGTGAGGTAGGATGTGAAGCGCTCTGAAAGTGCAGTTTAATCATCAATACACATAACATTCATTTTTTCTTTTTCTACAATATGTCCGCATGCATGCATCTCCAAATTCTACAAAATAGAGAATAAAAAATTTACTACAAAGTATAAATCTACAATATTCAAAACGTAGCAATGGGCGGGTGGGTGGGGCTTATAAGACTGCACGAAACAGAGCCTTCGAATGGCTTTCTCTATACAAAATTTCTTTCATGGTCACTAATAGCCCGTGCTATGAATATTTATGTCACCTGACTAGGGGACAATATTAACAGCCAATAGATGACGAGAATAAACAAACACTTGTTTGGGTAACATTAATAAATACGTTTATGTTCTTACTCGTTTCACTCAAACGAACATAAAACAATTATGAAATAAACACAAACTCGTGAGGTAGGATGTGAAGCGCTCTGAAAGTGCAGTTTAATTATTTCGAAGACAAAGAAGATAGGAATACGAATATACTAAATACCCAAATTTTTTGTGACTGAAAGTTTTTCGGTTTGGTTTTCTTTAACATATCCATCTTTAGCATTATCTGACCTCCACCGCCCATGCTTCTTAAACAGTCTATCACAAACACCTGAGGCGGCTGCAGAGGTGGCGTCACCTGATCTCAAACTGTGTACACCAAATTTACGCTTGTCTAAACCAATCATTTCAAGTGCGTCCAATATGATTTCCCTTGCCCTTGTATAAGAAATCGGACGATTATCCGATCTAAGTTTATAAGTATTGGATTTTTTTACAAAACGACAGAGATCTAAACAAGTATTGAGAAGAATGCATGTCAGCTTTTGACAATTTTAAGAACTTTTCCAACATATTTACAGGACATGTGTCACAAAATGTTCTAGCAATACAAACTTTATGACCAGTTTTTTAAACATCTGTTTTACTTTTAACGATGTTAATTTCTACACAGTTAGTCTGTATACAAATATCTGAATAACGGATGTTGACTATTTCTGAGAATCTCAAGAATCCTGCAAAACCTAATAGACACATACACAATGTTCTTAAATTATATAAATTTTTATCCTCTTCAATTGTAGAAACCAGAGTTTTCAAATGTTCAGGCGTCACTGGCTCTTTTTTAATCACTGGCCTTGATGTCTCCCTAATTGCCCCTTCCTTAATAGTTTTTACAAGAGCAGAGTCATAAGGATCTATATAACCTGCTAGGTTATGTATGGCATGTCAAATGTTGCAATATTCGATCTTTTCCATTTGTATTGTATAATTTTCTATTTGTATTGTATAATTTTCCATTTGTATTGTAAGAGTTTCCATTTGTATTCTATAATTTTTCATTTGTATTCTATAATTTTTCATTTGTATTCTATAATTTTTCATTTGCATTGTAAAATTTTTATTTATATTCTATATTTTTCATTTGTATTCAATAATTCTTCGTTAGTATTGTATAATTTTTTATTTGTATTGTATAATTTTTTATTTGCATTGTATAATTTTTATTTGTATTGTATAATTTTCAATTTGTATTCTTTAATTTTTCCTTTGTATTTTATAATTTTTATTTGTATTGTATAATTTTCCATTTGTATTGTATAATTTTCCATTTGTATTGTATAATTTCTCATTTGTATTTTAAAATTATAGAATACAAATGGAAATTTATAGAATACAAATGGAAAATTATACAATACAAATGGAAAATTATAGAATACAAATGGAAAATTATAGAATACAAATAAAAATTATACAATACAAATGAAATATTATACAACATAAATGAAAACTTATTGAATACAAATGGAAAATTATACAATGCAAATAAAAATTATACAATACAAATGAAATATTATAGAATACAAATAAAAATTTTACAATACAAATGAAAAATTATACAATACAAATGGAAAATTAAAGAATACAAATAAACATTATACAATACAAATGGAAAATTATAGAATATAAATGGAGAATTATAGAATATAAATGGAAAATTATACAATACAAATGGAAAAGATCGAATATTGCAACGTTTGACATGCCATAGTTATGAGCCCAACTGATGGCATATATAGCTGAATGTATTTTGCCAGACGATTTATATTGCTCTTCTAAATAGATGATATACAGAGCAATGTTATTTTCCGAAGCAGGAAGAGATTGAATCCGAGGATTAAAACTGCTGCACCATTTACAAAAGGTGTTAAAAGCGTACCTGTTCTGTTTTGCTGTATTCTGGCCTTAGATGTTATACAATATCGGGGTAGTTCAGACGCAAGTTCCGCTAGACGATGATCCTGTAATCCACAATTAAGTCCTGTCCATCTGCCCACTTTAAAAATATCTGCAAAATGTGTTTATTAAAGCAAAAAATTAGCATCTTCTAAAATTCAAATTACATATTGTATGGTGTATCATGACCTTCATCATCTGCAATACACCCTCTCTGATGTACCAGGACCACTTTTCGTCTGCAATACATCAATTACATATGCCACAGCTAGGCAACAATCATTGCTCGAGGTGTACCAGGGCCTAAACCATCTGCAATACACCATCACAAATTAAAAATTTGTAGCATCTAAGCTTACCGCAAGTATTCCAGAGCCAAAATATATAGAATCAACAGAGAAAGGACCGAACATAGAACTAACAAATTCGAAAAATTCTATAGTACATGTAACTTCCCAATCATCGTGATCAATCATTTTACTGAAAAAATCCGCTTTTTCATTTTCTGATCTCGGAACCCATTGAACATCAAGAGAAATTTTATTTTCGGCGCACATTTTGAAAATATTATATGCTAAAACTTGTAAGTGATACTTCATGCTACCGGAATGTACTATTTTCGCACAACTTTGATTATCGGTAAACCACTTTACTGTCACATTTTTTAGTTCTTTTTTGAAAGAAGCTAACGCTAATTCTATAGCCTTCAACTCTCTCCACGTAGAACTCATACTTTTCTCATGTTCTTCACACATCAAATGAAACACCTTAGAATTAACCTCGACTGTGTATTCGCTTGATGCTGAGCTACTTGCATCTGAATAAATGATTACATTTTTTCTTTTAATAGAATGTAGAAATCTTGTACAATCACAACGAATACATTCTATCCAAAATTTTAGTTCTTCAAGCACTTGATCTTGATACTTGAAAAATAACTTAGAATCCCATGATTCTTTCATAGCAATTTCCCTAGAAGAAAACCTTGTCATTATATTGCATATGTTACCCATTACTGGAGTCAACGAAATGATCTTCCCCACTACTTTTGCAAGTTCCCTCGCTGTTACGTCGGGAAAACGAATGATAGTTTTCTGCAGACAACAGATAGTATCGTCTTTTCTTCTGTCCGGAAGTGAAATAGAATATAAATTTGAATTCCATGTTAAACCTAACCATTCAATGACTTGAGTTGGTATAAAATGTGATTTTTCAACATTAACCACCAGACCAGTTTCTGACAATGTTTTCTGAATAAATTGAGAATCTAAAGCACATTGACTCTCGGTTGAAGCAAACGCCAGACCATCATCTAAATATAATACAATCATAATGCCATTTTTTCTCAAGAATTTAACAATGGGTCTTAAACATTTAGTAAAAATGAATGGAGCTGACGAAAGACCGAAAAGAAGAACTGTATAGCAGTAATACTTGTTATCCCACTGGAATCCTAAATAAGTTTGAAAATTCTCAGCTATATCTATGTGATGATATCCTGATTTCAGATCGAATTTGATACAATAAAAACCCTTTTCGAAATATTCTAATGCCGTCTTCCAGTCTTCAAACTTTAATTTTTCATACTTTACATATTTATTTAGCCTACTGAGATCAAGGATCAACCTCTTTTTGTTTTTATTTTCTGCGACGCTCAGTGGACTACACACAAATGGCTGAAAAGGAACTTCTAAAATACGTTTGTTTTTCATCAGCTCTGAAATTTCTGAAGTAACAAATTCAACATTGTTAATAGCAGACTTATTATTTCGAAAACACATAGAAGAAGGATTTGTAACAAAAGGAATTTCATAGCCAGATTCAATAACTTTCAAAATAAATGGATTTGTGCCAATTTCTTTCC